CTGTGTCTGCTCACTCCTTCTGAGTCACAGAGAGCGAAGAGAGACACTCAGTTTAATGTCCCAATGAAAGATCATGAAAACCCGGACATTTGCGTCACTTTATAACGGCCAAGACAGGACGTGGAAAACAGACATGTCCGGGGAAAAACAGACGTTTGGCCACGCTACGCTATGCACAGCGACCTACATTCAGATTGTCGATTAAAAATGAACGTTATTGATGAAATTCTTAATGATCAATTATCGATTAATGAACTAATCATGCCCATCCCTACCTAGAAAGTTTAAAGTATTGATTAGTATCTCATTATGTCTTCCTCTTGTATCAGTAGAAACAGTTTTTGCTCGTGTGCTGACTGCTTCCTCTCCCCTCAGGTCGTAACATGCTCTTAGTCGGGGTGGATGGTCCCAAAGTTCCTTGTGAGGAGATTTTAGTGAAACATTTGGGGAACCGCGTCTACAACGTGAGCTACCAGCTAAAGGAGAAGGGCGAGTACATCCTGGTCATCAAGTGGGGAGACGAGCACATCCCCGGCAGCCCCTACCGCATTGTGGTTTAAAACTACACGCTAAAACTCCATACCACTGTTTAAAATATCATGTTTACAACTTGAGCAGTCCCTCCCCCCAAAGCAATGCACCAACTCCATTTCTCACTATTTAACAACATAAAAATCACACTTCTGGCTTCTTAAACCGCAATGCAATTCAAATACAGCTCCAAAGATGAACGCGCATAACCCGTCTGAGAATCATGCACCTTTTATTATTGTCATTGTGTCATTTTTACAACTAGCAGCACTGCAAAAAATAGATGATGTAAAGTGACTTGAATTACATTTTTAATTTAGTTGGAAATAAGAAAAAAATATGTTCAGTGGCATAAAAACAAAGCTTTTAATTCCAATCCAAATGTTACATACACTAGGTGTTTAAGTAGGTCACTAAATATGGCTAGAAATTAAGATTAAAATAGTGAATTCGAGTCATTTTATGAGTTTTTTTGCAGTGTCTGAAATGTGTTTTGTGTCCAGTAGGTTGATAGAAACATGTAAACAGTCTTAGCTGAGTTTTGCCTTTTAAACAGAGGGTTACTGACCGTTTTGCACTGGAAAATCAACAAAAATTCCCCAAATATTCAAATTCCAAGTTTACAGTTTTCAGTAGAATTCATAGTTTGACTGTTACAAATGGTTTTAAAGGAGAATTTTGAGTCCAGTCTGAGTGTTTCGAAAAATGTGCTTTTACAGTAATAGTGTTTTAACCTGCTGATAGTGTTCTGTGAAGATACGCTGCCAAAAATAACATAAATTTGGGATTTTAATTTCAGTAGTTTTGATTGATTCAGATTTATTACACATTAGGACTATTTCATTAACATTTTAAAGCATTCGCAGCTAATTCCAACTATTATTCCAACTTAAAATAACAGATTTGTTTTTGGTTTGAATAAATAAACATGTATTTAAACCGATCCAAACTAGATTAAAAAAAACGTCCTAATAAATCAATAAATATGAATTAGTCAGTTAACTATACCCAAATTAATGTGGTTTATTCCTACTTTTGGCTTTTGCAGATTACATAAAAACGGCGTACACTTGGTCAGATAGTCCTATACCAGTACAACATACGCATCATAACATTTCTGCTATTTGAAAAAGGTGTTGTGCTTAGTTTTGTGCCAGTAAGAGCACCGCACGCACACACGGCTCTCCATGCTCATCTACTTCTAATTAAAAGGTGTTTGAAAACTTGCAACTTAAAATTCCAAGGTCTATAAAGGGAAATGTTTGGAATGTTTTGCTGGAAAAATGAATGTTACGATTGAGAATGAAAATTCAGTAGTTTCGGTTTAGTTTTCAGTCCCAGTATTTTTCAGTTTCACCCTCTCTCCTCCATTCTTCTAACCCGCTGTGTGCCTTATGTTTTTGAAAATAAATAATGATCTTGTCCTATTAAAAAGGCTTTAAAAGTGTTTGTAAGACAGTATTTTGATACACAATAAAGTTAAGTATTTTCTGTCAATTTTTTTATTTTTTAAATTTTTTTTTGTTTTAATATTTTAAATATTTATCAGGTTCTTTATACATTTCAAGGGTCTTTACTGCACTAAAGTCAGAAACCTTAAACAGGGGGCATTACACTTCTGTGGGGTATTAATTGATGATGCATAACATATTTAGATCACCATAGATTACCTGTTATGTTTGGAAAATGCTATATTCACTCAAAACAGAGTGTCAAAATATAACTACCTTCTCATGGTTTGAGTCTAATCTGTGAGTTTTTACCATTTAAATCAAATTGCACTCACTGGAAAAAGCTACATGTTTGGAAAAGTGGATAAATCACTGTGCGTCTGTCTGGTTCAAACTGGAATTTGAAGTGGTGCGTGGAAGTTGAAAGAACTTAAACCATATCAACTCTGGCAAACCTACTCGGACTCCCATTTAACTTTCAAATTGTTAAAATAACAATTTGAGCCAGGAGCCAAGTGTGAAATGAGGCCTATTATATCAGCATAATCAGTGTGCCTCCTGCTAATGAAACTACTACACACATCAGGTTTGTGAAGCTGAAGTGTACACTTTTGTACCACGTTTTTGTATATTTAATAATAATAATAATGCATAATTTTTTGGACACTCAAAGACACTTTACAGAGCATTTTTCATTCACTCCACATTCAGTGGTGGTGAGATCTACTGTAGCCACAGCTGCCCTGAGGCTGATGTGACTGAAATGAAGCTGCCAGTCTGCACCATCGGCCCCTCCGACCACCACCAACACTCACACGCACACACATCACTTTCAGACTAGGCAATGTGGATGAAGTGTCTTGCCTAAGGACACAATGACAGTTTTTGTGACTGGCTCCCCCCTGTGGCACCTGATTTTCCCAGTGTCTCCCATTCAAGTTCTACTGAGCTTCTGCGATCTGACGGGATCAGGCTTTGACAAGACTGTAAGTCCGTGTGTGGGTGTGTGGGTGATACAGAATTGACTAGGACTGTTCTACAAAACATGAAGAGGATTCAAATATGACCTAGGAGAGATGACTAGATTATAACACCACATCCAGGTAATAATTTAAAAAATATATGAATGGCTCAAATACATTTTAACAAGTCGACTCCTCATAGCATTAAAGGACCTTTTATAAAGCCTCTTTGTTGCTTAAAGGTCCAATTTACACACACACACATTTGGAGCTTTAAGCCATGTTATAATGCTGTTCCCTCCTCAAAAACAGACCTGGAGTTGTGTTTTGTTTCATTCAAACATGTCTGAGTAACTATTATCAGTCTGTCTACATCACCAAAGCTCAAAGTGCTCTGTTCCACCTTGTGATGTCATGTGGAAGTTTTCAAGTGAACAGCTCCTTTTACTTTTAGTTGAGTAGAGTTGGACAATTCCAGAACTGAAATCATCTAAATGATTCTACAGAGTTTAAAAACACAGTGGAGCACTTCCTGTATTACCACATGATATCACAAGGTGGAGTTTTCTGTTTGAGAGAAGAATTTGGGCTAAATGTGCAGGTTTGTGTGTTAAACATGTGAATGAAACAAAACGCAAGTCCAGGTCTGTTTGTGATGAGGAAACGACATTAGAACAGATCAGGAAACAGTCTGATATACGTCCTTTAATACAGGAGGGTCAAACTCAAACTCACAGAGGCCAAAATTAAAAACTGGGACTAACTCGTGGGCCAAATTAAATATTTATTGAAAGATTTCAACAACATCTGCATGTTTTCTCTTCTTTCGAGATATGTAATGTTAAACTTTCTCTTATTAAAATAAATGTTTAATAATAGTTTTGCTTAAACATTGAATACAGAAGAAGCAGAATATAAAATAATAACATTTTAAATAAATCATGTCTCTATAGTCAATCTGTAGCCGTCGGCAGCTCTAATACAGATTTGATATGATCTCACGGGCCAAATATAATTATATTGTGGGCCAAATTTGGCCCCAGGCCTGAGTTTGACATGTCTGGTTTAAGGCCTGGTACTTGCACGCACATACACATGCACATACACATGCACATACACATGCACATACACATGCACATACACACGCACATGCACATACACATAGACTGTCAGTTAATGGCCTCCAGCTTTGCTCCCTCAGGCTCTTCCCTGCATTAAAGGAATGTTTATTATAAAGTACACAAGCAAGTCAATAATTATGTTTTACCATCCACACAATAACCCCCAGTCCTCCTCCGCTTCATTATCTTAAACGTGCACTAACATGGAACTTTTCTGAGTGAGGGATTTTCAAACATGCACAAACTTTCCACTCACACAAGTAGTGGTAGTAGTAGTAGTAGTACATTACATTAGTCACTGCATGACCTCATCACGGGGACTACGCCCAACTTCTGCTCAACTCAACTCCTTTTTAGGCCTGAGTCCATAAAAACAGAACCTTAGGGGGGCGCTGCTGCACAACCAATCAAAGCTGCATTCAGTTTTCAAATCTGAGAATCCAAAGAAGAGTCCCATATGTTTATGTTTATGTAGTCCTGCTTTAGTCCTGCTTTAGTCCTGCTTTAGTCCTGCTTTAGTCCTGCTTTAGTCCTGCTTTAGTCCTGCTTTAGTAGACTCAGACTAGTCCTGGTTTAGTCCACTTAAGTCCTGAAATAGACTTTGATTCGAGGATAAAACAGTCAGATAATTTTGAAAATGAATGAGATTATAGTTGAAGTGAAAGTGAAATCTCGTATTCAATCTCAGAAGTGGAATTAGGTTAGTAAATATAGAGCGCTGTGTAGTTTTGGTAGTATCTCCGTACTTTACACTCGATACTTTTACTTTACTACATATGCAGTTATCTTTAGGCTATTATATAAAGTATTTTTTTCTATATCGTTTGAGACATGCGGACAAAGATGTGGTGTAAAACTACATTTGACTCTTTAATACAAAGTCTGAGTGACTTTTTCAAAATATAATCATATGTCTAAATGACGTTTATATGTTATTTTTGAATATGATTTAAATACGAGTATTAATTGAAAATGCAAAATAAATCTATAAAATCTATTGTAAAGTGTAGAGAGAGAACAGAACAAACGAGGGCGTGCCTTGTTACGTAATCCAGATGTTCGCCTGACGCACGGACGCACGTTCACTGCGCGCTTGGATCACGGCCGATTTTTCTGCAAGACTCGTAAAAAAAACTACAACTCCGTGTTATAAAGGTGAGATCAACATTTTATGAACTTTACTGGAGTAAAAATCTGCTGTTTTAATCACACATTAGTTTAGGATTGTACGGGACGAGCTCGTTTTGAACTCTTGGAGATGTGTCCGATGTTGCGCGCGTAACTCAGAGCTAACGCGAGAAGCGTAACGTCCTTCAGTCAGTTTAAACTTTACTCAAACACTGTCTCAATATTCTGTCTTAGATTTTATTTGAGCTCGACTTAAAGCATTCATTCGCTTTGCAAATTCTCTATTTCCTCTCGTCCTCTTCCTCCTCCTCCTCTGCACTTAGATGTGAACTTCAGCTCATGTATGCAAAAAGAATTACTCAACTAGTACTTCTGCAGAATTACTGTATGAGTATTTTAATTACTGTCTGCACCAACTGTTAAAATACTGCTCTAGCACTTTGATAGGCTCAGATGTACTTAGTACTCACATGTACACATTTATTACTACTACTATTCATTATACTGTTACTATTTACTTGAGTTGAAATAAACTGTACTTTACAGAATACTTTTCTAGTAGTGTTAGAGTTACTTGTAGTCATACTTGTTTAAGTTTAGAAGTTCTTATTGAAGTAACAGTACTCTTAGTTGAGTAAAATATTGTAGAGTGTAATAGTACTCTTAAGTAAAAGTTCCTTTTCTCACAGTGAGTCTAAAGTGACAAAAGTTTTATGTGGTAATCTGAAATGAATGAACAGTTGTGTTTCTCCTTCACATCTGATTTAGTTTGTTTCATGTTTGTGTCTGTCCTTTGAAAACACCACATTTTGTGCCTTATTTATTATGTATTTGTAAATTAATTTTTTTGTCCTTCATGTTACATTCACTTCATATTATAAATAAGATTGGGCCGGACAATGAATCACATTAATTCGATTGATTCAGGTTTTTAATGAATCGATATTTTGAAAAACTTCTAAATTGTGAAATGGAGGATTATTCTGAAATAACTTTACCCTTGACTTTCTTAATGGCAAAGTAGGTTATTGTGCAATTACATCGATATATCTATATATATATAATGGATGGATGGTTTACAATTTCTTGAATAATAACATACATGTAAAGAGCTTCCCCTGTTTCAAACACCCGCAGTCTCTGCTCCAAAGCTCCATTCACCTCCACCTCAGACCCAGTCTAATCAAATCCTTCAGGGTGTGACTGTATCACCCAGCTCTAAAATCAGACACTTACACACTGTTACAAAGTTACATCATGTCGGTTATGTCATATTCAGATTGATTTAGTTCTATTATTTGTTTGAGTGTGTTTCAGGCATAAATGTTTTCACTTACACATTTTGTCTCTGCAGATGTCTCTGAGTGACAAAAGTGACTCTGAGATCAGTGAGCTGCTCTCAGAGTACGGCATCAAACATGGGCCCATCGTTGGTATAAATACACTATTATAAATATATCTGCAAATATTATTTTAATGTGATGACATCATCTTTCTATGTGTTATATTTTGTGCAGAATCGACCAGAAAACTTTATGAGAAGAAGCTGCAGAAGGCCATGGAGGAGGCAGCTTCTCAGAGTCCCTCATCTGATAAGACGTACTACAGAGAGGAGGGTGAGTGTGGGCGCAGCGCTCTGCTGGAGGACATGTACATGCATATATAGAAATGGACATAGCTGATCCATGGTTTAGTTCATGTTTAGTCCTGGTTTAGTCGTGGTTTAGTTTTGTTTTAGTCCTGGTTTAGTTGAGGAGCTGCAGTAGTTTGCTGGTTCTTGGGGTTAGAGGACAGACGACCAGGGGACTGTGTCATTACATCACATTATTTCTTAAGGTAAATCTACAGTATGTTTCTGGTGAAACTGTGTCTGTTCACACATTCTGTTCTTTTTGCAGAGGAAGTCATCACCTACATCACATACCACAGTCCGGTGAGTCCTGCCAGGTTTAATGATGGTTCTTTCGCAGTGTGGGTGTAATGCAGAAAACCTCCCCGTAAAATGTCCCAGTATCATTCAGACAGAATTTGAATTTGACTCAGTTCCAGTACTTAAGAAAAGACTTGACACTCGATCACTTTTAAAGCTTCATTTTCAACACAAAATACTAGTACTACTAGTAACAGTAGTAATAACTAGTTCTACACTAGTTCTGCTAAAAGTCAGGATGACATGTTTCATTTTATCCACTTATGTGTTTTTTTTTTTTATTGATACCTGCACAAATGTCAAATTTAAACACGTAGCTGTGGCTATAGTTGTATTTTAGAATAGATTGGAATAGAATAGAAAGTCTTTATTGTCATTATACTGTGTATAATGAGATAACACTGTGGAGTGAATGAATAATGCACTTTTTACCATGGTCAGTGAGAATGCTAATGCTAAATACCATGTGTTATTTTTGAGTAAGTGTACAGGTCGTCAGGCTCTAGACTCCGGGTCAGTGCGTTAAAACTGTGTAACACACTGTCCTCACAGGTGAATCTTTGGGTTTCTAGAAGGCACTAAATGTAATACAATCTAAATGTAATCTAATCAAAAATTCATTATAATGAGCATTGTATAATCCATGGGTTTCATCTTTGTTGGTCCCATGGTGCCGTTTTGAAGACAGTAGACCACTCAAAAGAAATAATATTTAGTTTTGAATAGTTAAGAAAGAATGAGCATAGTTAGAAGTTTATAAGTTATTCTGTTTCCATTGTGCGCTGATGGACTGCTGTGTTTGTTTTGAGCAGACTCGATCTGAAGCGTCTGGAGACATGTGAGTACACGTCTCACCACTCTCACCACTCTCACTGTCACTGTTGACCCAAGGCTGGACTTTTCTAATGCAGCGTTTGTGTTTGAACCCAGGCTGAAACACAGAGGAGCCACACTGCAAAACCAGAGCAACCACCAAGAGCAGCACACTCCTGAACCCGAGCCAGAGTGAGAGACGGACTTTTCTCATAGAACCTCTGTCACCTGTTTGTCTCTGTGGAGATGTTCTTGTTTTGCCTGGAAGGTTCCACAGTATGGCATTTCATTTAAACAGTCTTTACACAAGTTACAAGTCAGATCTGTGGAGAGGGGAGCCCCTACACACACATGTACACACAGTATGTACATGTGTGTATAAAGAGTAATAACAAGTGATGATTACTTAGATGTTTAATGCCATACTGTGGTACATTCCAGACAGAGCAGTAAAGTTAAGCAGTAAAACCAATGTCAGGTTCTAGTTTTTGATTCCAAAATTCCCTCTAAAATGCACAGACAGTTTATGCATGAGGAACACAGTTTACACACACACATGTAAGTAAATAATATCACATATTTTATTTAACCAGTAGTAACTATTGTGCAGTTCAGGTAACGTAATTATGTAAGTATGTCATATCTGCTGCCCAGTTTGAAGTCAAATCATAGGTCATATTTGATGTTCGCTACGGCCTATGCACTTAAAACCTCACAGGTGATTAGAGTCTGTGGTCTGTTCACACTCCAGGAGCAGTTTAGTTTGAACTAAAAAACTGAACAAGTCAGAAATAACTTCTGCAAGTAGAAAAAATGTAAAACTGTAAATATTTGTATAGATAATGTCTTTTTTTCCCACAGGCCTCCAGTGCAGAGGTCCACAGGGAAAGTCGACCACATCTCTGCCCCATCCAAAGCCCAGGAGAAGCAGGCCAAAGCGGGCTGTGTGTGGAGGCTGATGCGCCTGCTGCTGGTGGGAGCGCTGTTAGCCGCTTTAGTCTTCTACGTTTACGGTCACTTGATGAGGGTAGAGGAAAGTCAAGAGCCTCAGTAGAGCTGGAACAAGGAACACGTGTGCCTACGTTTTTACGAGATGATTGAAGAAGGTCAAAGTGCATGTGACAGGTCAGGTTATTCTACTCACTTCACAACATCCTGGGTAACATCAATATATTTCAGATTTGACTACAAATCTTGGCTAGTTTTTCCTAGTTTAGTTAGACACAGGCAGCAGATGTAACATACATAGAGGCAATTCCATAACTGCCAAAACTTGTCTAAATTGAACAACAGTAATGCTTAGACTATTGAAAATCAATGTTGTTTAATGATTCATCGGTTCTTTGTGCATAAATTGTCTCTGTATTTTGGATTGGATATTTTGGATATTGTTTTGTTTTTTTTAGTTTGTACTTTTCGTCTCTTTTTACACAGACACTTGACTGATGTAAAACTGGTTAAAGGTGCGATATGTAACTTTGCTGGAAGAGGGTATGCCACCTGTTCGTCTCCATGGATATTACTTTGGGATGATCAAAGTATGGCAATAAATCCCCATGCATCTTTAAAACATCTGTAATCAAACAAATGTAAGACTTTTTAATGCCATACAGTGGAACATAATCTATGGACAAAGCACTATCATCTCCATGGAGACAAACAGGTGGTGTACACGCCTTCAGAAAGTTATATTGTCCATCTTTAAAGGCAGCTTTAACACAATAAAGTGTAAGAAAGACTCAAAATGAAGCTATTTGCAGGTAAAAGTTTGACATAAATGACTTGATACTGATATTGTGGGTAAAGTTTTCAATTCAAGCTAAGTTTTCAAATCAGTTTCCAAATCTGTCTGTAAAATTATCCAGTATGTCGATACATTTTAAAATTGTTTTAAAAGTATACTAAATTAACATTCATAAATCAAGTAATTTTACTCAAATCTGAGTGTTGTGAGCTTTAGCAATGTTCCATGTTGTTCCCTCCTCAAAAACAGATCAGCAGTTGTGTTTTGTTTCATTCACACAAGTAACACTTTATTATTCTACATCTCCAAAGCTCAAAATGCTCTGTTCCACCTTGTGATGTCATCAAGGGGTAGTTTTAATCAGTTTGAGTCAGCTGAGATTGCCATAGAAAGCTTCTAATATCTGCAGAGGAACTGAGGAGTGAAGTAGTTTCAATGAAACTGAATTTGGCCATTCCAGAGCTGCAAGTTTTCAAATGGTTCTAGTGAAGGTGTATGGAGCACTTCCTGTATTATCACTATCAGTGACATCACAAGGTGGAACAGTGTTTTCTGTTTGAAAGAGCTCAGTCTAAATGTGCAGGTTTGTGTGTTAAACATGTGTGAGTGAAACAAAACACAGCTACAGGTCTGTGTGTGACGAGGAAACTGCATTGGAACAGAAATCAGAAAATAGTGTCTCATGGGCCCTTGAGTATTTTCCTTTTCACGTTGTATTTTTGCTTTATGTGCAGTTTGCAATGTGACTGTTCCTTATGTTGTTCATGTTGGCATCTGTCTAAAATAAATGCTTTTTTAATTTTAGTTTTTTATTGTTTGGGTCATCACAGCAAACCAAAGTTCAAAAAAGTTTATTGTCAATTCTTCATACGAAACATATGAAGAATCAAAATTGTGTTTCTCACTCCCAAACGTATAAATAAATAATCATAAATGGAAAATGTGTAATATAGGACCATTATCTCATCACACAAATCATTAAACATCTTCCAATTTTATCTTTGTACTAATATTTTAATTTAAAATGTTGTATTTTTTACCCCACGACAGTACTAAAGACAATGGAAGTAATCTTTAAATTATTTGGTGTATTACCTTTCAGAGACGCAGACTGATGAATGATGGGACCACAGTGATTGAGCTGCACCCACACTGGCCCTGTAGCTCCTTTGTGTAGCATATTTTAAAGCATTTGATGTCGGGCAATCACACGACACTGCAGGCTAGTCATATTATTTATTTACTGTGTTTTCATAAAGATGCATCAAGAATTTCAGACTTCTGGTCATTGCACAATTCATACTGGGAAGGAATTTTCGAAAAAGTGAAAATCAAACCTCCATGTTTGTTTACCCAGTGGGATGTGTCTATTGACAAAGTCGATCTTTTCTAGTCTTTTGAACCATATCACTTTTGTTTTTGGTTCTGATATTGTCATATTTTAGTTTTGGGATTCAGACATCGTAATTGTGTGGTTGTTGGATCCTAACAGCGGAAAACGGGCTTCGGAAGTTTGTGAATTCCATAAATGTAAAAGTGAATCAGATGTGTGTGACTCAAACCTCTGTTCAAACTTCTTCCCAATGGAATTGAAAAATAGTGAAAGGTGAAGGTGATGGGCAGGATTGATCCACAGGAAGGATGAAAAAGGAAACCTTTGACTGTCTAAATCCTGAGTTTACAGAGAACATTTTGTATGCACTTTCTAGTTCTTGTGGTTTTACAGAAACATCATGTCTTGGTCTCTTTACAGTGGAAGGTTTTTCTTGGTGAACAGTTGGTGCATTTCACTTTGGCATTGACTTTTTAAATTTTTAACCAAGGTGGAGCACTCCACATACAAAATATTCTCTGCAAACACGGGATGATTTCTTAGACAGTCAAATGTTTCCTTTTTGGTTCTTCCTGTGGATCAATCCTGCCCATCACCTTCACCTTTCACTATTTTTCAATTCTGTTGGGAAGAGAAACAGTTTGAACAGAGGTTTGAGTCACACACATCTGATTCACTTTTGCAGTTATGAAGTTCACAAACACATTTCTCGAGCCTTTTTCCACTGTTAGGATCCAACAACCACACAATTACAATGTCCGAATCCCAAAATTAAAATATGACAAAATCAGAACCAAAAGTGATATGGTTCAAAAGACTTGAAAAGATCGGCTTTGTCAATAGACACATCCCACTGGGAAAACAAACATGGAGGATTTATGCTCACTTTTGCACGATGACTGGAAATCTAAGATTCTTGATGCATGTATTGTATAAAAATATTTCCATCACTATCTTATATTATACTGACAGCTTTTACCAATTACATTTTTTTCATTTTTGTTTTATTTTACCTTTATTTAACCTGGAGTTCCCACTGAAATTCAGAATCTCGTTTTCAAGAGAGACGTGCCTAAGATATCAGCCAACACAATCAATACAGAACACTCAAATCACATTTAAAAAACATTTCCATCTCTCAACAAAAACATTCACACGTCTCAGTCACTGCATTTTCTTGAAGTCATCAGGTGAAACCACAGAGTCCAACTGAAGCTCTTTCTGTAAATGATTCCAACACCATGGAGCTGTAGGAAAAGGCAGATTTTCCAGCTCAGAGGTGCAGAGGGACAGTGAAGAGGATCTGTGAGGAGGAGTGAAGCCGGTCACTCCCTGAGCTCAGATTAAGGACATTACTAAGGTACCAGGGAAGGTTCCTCAGTATGGCTTTGTACACAAATATTAACCAGTGTTGTTTTCTGTGAATTGTTAGTGATGTCCAGCCAGTGAAACCTGAAAGAGCAGTGATGAGTGAGAGAGTTAATGATGACCCTCCGTGATCCATGATGCACAGAGTTCAGTTTGAGCAGAGTGGAAGAGAGAGCTGCATATACAAGTGTCACCACAGTCCACAATCAACAGGAAAGATGCTTCCACCATTTTTTTTTTTTTTTTTTTGCTGAAATGATGATTTTATTAAGAAGTAGGCACTGTTGTTACAAGGACTCATTGTTTTTCAGTCGCCCCCAGAGTGTGTCAGACCTGAACACTTGAGCCTTCATTTTATTCTTGACTACAGACCAAAGTCACGGCGTTTCTAGGTCACATATTCTTATTCAGGGACAATCTAAGTCTCCAAAGCCTAACCCTGGAAAAGGCACGCTCCCCCCATCACAAGAGGGCACTGTCTGCCAACTCTGCTGCTTATTGGTGGTTTTCAGATTGTAGAATGTGGTGATGTCACACTCACAGATGAGGGGCAAGAGACAGTTTTTCCTATTAATTATATTGTACTTTACCAGGAAATATCAGAAAGATAAATTCCCAAATATGGAACCTGATCATTTCTGTTATTCTGACTAGACCCATGTCCAAAAATCTGCACTTGAACAATATTAATTGTATTCAATGACACTTGCCTGTAGAATGATGTCATCGGAAACCAGCAATACTGTTCGCTTGCTGTTCTTGGATTCTTCCAAGGCCACGCTCTCTTTGTGTAATAGGCCCAGTTCTTCAGCCATCAAAAGCCTGAGGATATGTTTAGGCCACAGGAGCTCACCAAATTCACCTGCAGCTGCCACACCCTGAGCAAACAGCTCCAAAAGCAACCTGTTCTGTCCACACAAATATTTCTCCTGTTCTTTTACAACAGTAAAGATACAGATTATTTTCATGGCTGTGCCCACTAAGTGAAGTGTTACTAATCTCTCTCTTCCCTCTAACTCCAGTGAGTGTTGTGGAGCAGGTGATTGTGCAACTTTTGGTGCTTCGCACTTGCGCTGTTTCACACTTGTGCTGTTGTGGCTGCAGGTCTGACTACGCCACCCGATGAAGAGGAGCAGTGGGTTCTCTAGGACAGAGTCAGTGATGTTCTGGTCTTGTGTAGCTGTAGATTCTACATTTGCACATCACCTTAAATCTAATACATACTAGACAAAATCATACAGGGAAAAGGATCCATTTGAACCCTTGTGTCTTCTCCCAGTTCCTCAAACAAGCGGTGAAAAAAAAAGAGTGAGGAGTGTCCTTCGTCGTGCTCACTCCTGCTCCACGTGATCTCTCACTAAATCATACAAATGCTCAGGTCACTTGTTGGAAAGCACAACAAAAGTGTTTCAACATTTCTGGTTGAAGTTTGAATGAGTTTATGAACTTACAGTAGAAATGGAAAACATTGACTTTGAGCACCTGATGGACCCTGAAGCACTTTTTGCTGAAGGTAATGATCAGTATTACTGCAGTAGAAACTGTTTGTCTTAATAGATTTAATGGATGAATGGAAAAAGTCAAAAAGATATATTTCTCAAAAATTTAAACATTTTCATTTTGTTTGAAACAAGCACACTGTCTCAGCCTGTTTTTTTCACTTTTTTCCCAAGACTCTTGTTCAAAGTGTTTTTAAACTTAACTATGTTCCAAATGTTAACCTGAAAAAATACAGATGAAAGTATTTTACCATGAACTTACAAATCGTGTTTTGTCGCACTGGGGCCTTGAACTAACCTCAGAACAATGTTGTTTGTGTCAAAGTAATAATTTGCCACTTTTACAAAAAATATAAAATGTCAGTTTTCCCCATCCTGTCTGTAGCAGTGATAGTCATGTTGCATGTTCTGTTTACTCTCGTGTGACTCCGCTGCAGTGCTGCCAAACCCAAGCTCAAAACACCTCCTCAGATCAGCTTTGTGGACTGGGCAGATCCCCGGCCTTCTGTGTGGAGTTCACACTTTCTCCCTCTGTCTGGGTGGATTTCCTTGAGGCATTCCACTTCCTCCAATCAACCCAATACATGCACCACAGGTAAAATCCTCCAGCTCGTTAGTCCTGACCAAGCCTCGCTACAAGACCACGGAGATGGGCCTCACCTTTTTAATAAGCAGGTAACAGATAACAGATGAGTTTGGAAGTTCTGCTAACATCAATGCTAAGCTCCACCCGTATGTGTCTTACAATAAAATATTAAAAGATTAAAATAACAATAATAATATGTCCAACAGTATGAAATATGTATTTAAAAGTGAGACAGATAAGAGTCCTGCTGCGATACAGGCTCCTCCGAGAGTTTCTGGAGAGAATAACAGCGCAGAGGAGTGAGGACAGGAGGAGATGTGAGGACAGGAGGAGTGAGGACAGGAGGAGATGTGAGGACAGGAGGAGTGAGGACAGGAGGAGATGTGAGGACAGGAGGAGTGAGGACAGGAGGAGATGTGAGGACAGGAGGAGTGAGGACAGGAGGAGACAAGGACAGGAGGAGATGAGGACAGGAGATGTGAGGACAGGAGACAAGGGCTGTGTCCCAATTCGAGGGCTGCAGCCTCCGAAGGCTGGTTTTAAGGCCGCATACGTCACTTCCGGTGAAAGAAGGCCTGTCCCATTTCATTTTTATGTCATGCAGCCCTAAAACCGGCCTCGTTTCCATGGAAATGGGGCCGCGAACGGAGGACACATCCGAGTATCCTTCGCAGCCTTCAGTATCCCAGCATGCACCGCGCGGCGGCAGTCACATGTTCGAAAACGCGGAGCAAAAAGCCGGTCCCGAGAGCGGAGAAAAACATGTGAGTAACACTTTTAACTTTAGGAAATCATTACTAACACAACTGTAAACGTAAAACACGACCATTAATTCCCACAAAACTGTCAAATAAGTTTGTTTTTAACTGCGTGAACTGCGGAGTTTTGAGCTAAAGTTTGCCTAGTAATGTGCAGCTAATGCGATGAAAAGTCCGCTCAAACTTTCATATTTGGACACATTTCCATCAAACACTCATCATGTTTTTACTGTTAGGGGAAAAGAAGCTCACAGAGTGATTTAAAGAAGCTACGAGGAGAAAACTCCACGTTTTCACGGACAGTGTAAACATGTAAACAGTTGGTCAGTGTAGCTCGGAGTTAAGATGAAACACACATTATTTCATACATTCAACTGAAAAAAGACTCAGTCTGACTCTATCAAAGCTCATATTTACTTGTAAATCACATAATATATGCCTCCAACGTGTGCATTTCATTCAGGGAATACATTATCTGCTTTTAACAATCCGTGCATGTTTGTAAAGTGAAGAGTATATAATATCCTGCCTGGACAGGTCAGATTTATGATGGACATGAGGCTCGTTTAACAGATTTGTGCAGACACTGGTGTAGATACGACCTGGTGTACATACGACCTGACTGTCTGTTTGGTCTGTCACATCTAATGTTATAACAATGAGAAATCAGTTTTACATGAATTTTCTCATCTGCAGCCTCCAGTATGAGGACACGACACACTGCAGGGGCCACAGAACTGTTGGCTGACAAGATGCTTGTGATTCATAAAATGGGTCAAATGCAGATGACAAAGTAAAGCCAACACTGAGCTGGAGGTGCTGACCCAGACTCCTGCCAACGATTAGGTATGGGGCATGTTACATTGAAAATTGTACTAATAAGAGCTGCAAATGAATCATGCTCATGTTGAAATTATGATTTAAATTGTGAAAATATGCATTTCTCAAATGTGTGGGATTCCTCTGTTCATTTAGCTGTTTCAGATATAAACTGCCTTTGAATCTGAATGTACATCAAAGTTTAAGTTCAACGTTAAAAATAGTTTATTGTCAATTCTTCATACGAAAAACATATAAAGAATCGAAATTGTTTTTCTCACTCCCTTGCGTATAAATAAATAATAATAAATGTAAATAGTGCGGAGGGAGTCCAGGTGTTCTTTGGGGCTGCATGCTCTCTGAAACTTATTTTCCTCTAATAGTTTTGTGTTCTTAATGTGTGTGTCATTACAGGTTTTCACTCTACAGGACAGAACTTTGAATCAATCAGACGCAACAACCATTCTGCTCTTCCTCCTCCAGAAGACGAGAGACACATCACACTGAGTGGTCCAAGTCCACTGTCCATGTCTCCACTGTCCATGTCCAGAGTCTCTGAGGAGCAGGTCCAGAGTCTCATATGATCTGAACAAGTGTGTGAGACAGAAATGAAAACATCTGCTCGTAAGTGTTTCTGAATGTTTTTCAGCCTGTACTGACATTTGATTTATGGTGAAATGTGCCATTTATTTGGTGTCTCTTTTGATAGTAACTAATTACATGTACTATAAGAATGTACTATTGTACTGCAGATAAGCTGTGGTATTCCACATGACCATATCTGGCAAAGATAATTTGTTCATTTTTGATTGTCACTTGCTTCAGCAAAAAGGGAACACAATGAGATTTACTGACATACAGCTGTTTGTACTAACTTGTTAATGCAGAGTGTGTGTAATGGGTTTAATATTTGACTTCATATTATGATAAAGTATTTCCAGAAGTTCCTTGGATTGTTTAATAAATCATCTTTTCTCAGGAGAGATGTCTTTCTTTCTTTACAAACTGACTGTATAAATGTAATCCCTGGTCAATATAAAAATCCTTAATAATGATAATATTTAGTAATGCATATCTCATCACAGTTTTTTTTTAATTTTAAGATAATTTAGTCTATTTAAAATGTATCCCTTAAATATAGCCGTTTTGTTTTGCAAAAGTTAAACATACATTTTCGGTTTTGGCCATAAGATTTGGATGCGAATTATTAAAATAATTTGGTCACAAAATCCGACAGTTTGATGACCTGTGCGTCTTTTTACTGATCCGTGTGTGGAATCTGCGCGGAGCGTGTTAGCATTAGCATTAGCGCTAGCAGCGTCCCTCGGTTGCTAGGCGACAGGGGAGCGGCTCCGAGGTCCAGACCTGTCCCATTTCCGCAACGGCCTGGCGGTCCGCGGAGGCCAGTTCAAGGGCTGCAGCCTTCGCGGCCGACGAAGGACCCAGCCTTCACAGCCTTCGGAGGCTGCAGCCCTCGAATTGGGACACAGCCAAAGAAACAATGCTGGCTACACTTCCCCGTGGTGTCACATGACCCGTGTCATGTGACCTGTGATGTCATGTGATCCGTGGTGTCACCACAGGTCACATGACACCACGGGGAAATTATCGCTGGCTACACTTCGTTGTTTATTGTTTGTTTCACTTCATGACAAAGTGAAATCAACAGGAATTATGACATCATCACATTCTAGAATCTACAAAGTTCAATTTCAAAGCTCAATTTCAAAGCTTAATTTCAAAGCTCAATTTCAAAGCTCAAAGCTTTGTGATTTCACTGAACACTTTGACTCAAAGCAAACAGAGTATGTAAGAAGAGTATGTCAAAAACAACAGTTTTGTTACTAATACTTTTTCTTGTTTTATGGTAGTTGACCTGTCAGAAATTAAAAATGGAAGTGCCAAGAGTAAACGGTCACAATGAGCAAACTTTAATCAGTTCTGATGCTTTTTTGGAAATCGTAAGGAGCCACTTCAAAATGATCGGATCCGACGGCTGGGAGATGTTGTCCAGGGGTTCATGTGATAATCAGACCAAGCAGATTATCCTTTCCATGTTTGCCCAGATGGTACAAAATATCTCCACAAACGTTTTGAGGGTAGTCATCCCCCTCAGTGAAGTCAGGGTATGTACAAATGTAACGGAGTCGATGCGCGTGTTACCGACCATTACAGCGGTGCTCCAGGAGTCCATTGGTCTGGTATTGGCTCGTGCTCTAAACATGAGTGCAGTCCCTTCAGAGGTAAACAAAAGCATTGAGTCTCAAGAACTCACTGCTATGATTGAGAATGAAGTTACTCACAAAGTCAACAGCGTCCTGTCAAACACATCCAAGTTACAAGAGCAAAGGTGTGTTATTGTGGTGGACTTCTCTTTGAGTAGCCCGAGCGTTGCGAGCATAGTGGACAAAGCTCTAGTGTGTTTGAAGCACTGCTTAAATGCACAGATGTACCCTTATGCAAGCAGAAATCCTGCAGCTACACCTGTGCCAGCGTCTGCCCACATACCAACAGCTGCCCGGAGGCATCCCCAAGCGGTTGTTCCTTTTTTTGTCCCTGCAGACCCTCCAGCCGTTGTCCTGAAAACTCCACCACAAAACCAGCAAAAACAGGATTCTCTTGGGACTTCCTCCCGAGAGTCTTGTTTGTCACTTAGTCAGTCAGTCACTCAGTACCTGATTACGGCTTTGTTGGTAAAACTGTTTAAGGGCAAACTGATTTTACATCCTAAGAATAAGACTTACAAATTCATCTGCACTCGCTTAACTCAAAAAGCTTGGGAGCAGATAGAGCTATCAGACGATCAAGTTAAGCAAACTGAAAAGAACATGAGTCAAATAATTGATAGTGTAAGGAAAGTTCTTCTGGAATTATATGGCTCGAACACCGCAATGCTACAAAGTGCCTTGGATGAAAACGACCATACATTTGAGGAGAAGCTTGTAGAATTGCTTCACTTTTACCTCCGGGTCCACAACAAGAAAAAGCCATCGCTGCTATCTCGCGCTTGTAGAGCCATCTCCAGATTCTTCTGCTGCTGCTGCTGCCCCAGTACGGAAGAGTAGACCCAGCCCACTCCCACTAATTAGTCCGAAGGGTGTGGAGAGGGAGGAACCCCTCTTTCCCTACTCCATTTGTACTAATTAGATCCATTTCAAAGTTGGACCTCTCGCGTTCAGATCATGGATCTATTAAAATCTGGATGAGGGGGGTGGAAACTCTTAACTACAACCAAAAATAAAATTAAATAAAAAAATAAAAAAAAGATAAATAAAATAAAGATGTTGCTTCTGCTTTGTACAAGGACTTGTGCAAAGGTAAAAAGAAGATCCACGTGCAGCACGCAACTCTGGCCCAGAGAGACTTCGGCTCCACAGTTCTGGAGGCCATCTACTATAACCTGGTAGTGCCCCAGAAGAAGAAACGCACGCTGAGCACTTTCCTGTGCTCGGGATAGTGTCTTCTGCAGGGACTAAACCAGGCAGGTCCCTTCATATAGGCCCAATAGGCCCAGAGGGTCTATCTGATGATGGACAGAGAGGAGCTCCTCAGCACTGAGTCGAAAAAAGACTCAATGAGGAGGAGCAGACTGGAGCAGGGGTTTGGGCCAAACACCTGACAACCCCACCAACCCACACAAACACCTACAAACAAACAAAAAAAAAAAAAATAATAATAATAATAAAATAAAGAAAAAAGAAAAAACTTTGAAAAATATGTCTTGTCTCGTTCTTGTAGATCCAGTCTTGTGTCCTGTGTGGAAATTCTATCTTGTCCCAAGATTTAGAAATACGGATTATTGTGACTAGATTAACGATATATATGTGCAGCTCTAGATTAAAGTGAGTTGTAGTAGAAGTGGCATTCTTTAGGTACACATGAATTGCTTATTTTTACTCTTTTCTTGTTTTTATTATTATATTATATATAAAACAAACTGAACTCATGAACCCAGTACCTTAAACACAAGAGCTGTGCCTAACAGGGAGTTTTATATGTAGAAAAGTAACAGGACAGCTCCCTCTTCTGGTCACATTGGAGTAGTGTAGTAGTGTAGTAATAAGCCACAGTCACAGTAACACAAGTACAGTCAGGTAAAGGGTTTTGCTTATTCCACATGTCTAAATCTAAATAAAGATCTGTTTATATATTCATAGTCCTAAATGTATATGATGATGATATAAAAAGACATAAAATCACTTCATTTGTGTAAAATGTTCAGTTTTCATGTGATCAACAAACACTGCGCCAATTCTCTGAAGGACTTTAAAACAGCTCTGTAGTCCTTATTTGTTGTCAGGATCGACTGCCCCGTACAAAATAATACAACTGGAATGAATAATGGCAGTGCCCACAGCAGCTTCCCGAATAAGGTGGATAAACACGAGTGAAAAGAAAAACACTGGCCTTGTCACTGTCATGTTGTTTTGTGAAAATGACTGTTACTGTGACTTACTACTGCACTACTACAATGTGACCAGAAGAGGGAGCTGTCCTTCTCTTTTCTACATGAGTTCTCTTTGTTGGATTTTTGTCAATAATTAAACTCCATCACATATAATAGAACAAATTGTGAGCATAAGATTATAAGTAAATAAATAAAAGAAAGTAAAAATAATGAATTCACTTTTTTGCTGCTACTGCTGCAGTTACTATTTAGCTACAACTCATTTTAAACTAAGGCCCAATCTGCATAAATGGGAAAAATATGAAATGCCTATTAGGCTTTATACGTACAGACATGAACAGCAGCTTCTTTTATTCTCTTATTTTTGACCTGTCAGTGCAGTGATAATGCTGGTCGGGCAGGTAATAATAACAATAACAGTTCTTGCTGTTGTTGTCATCCTTTTTTGTCTATCTATCTAAATCCAAACCAGAATACCTGAATGTTTAACAGCTTTTAAGGAGTAAAATGAAACATGTTAAACAGTCCTTTGCAAAATGAAAAGTTTACAGCACCTGGTATTCCCATGTGATCTCCCATCCAAGTACTAACCAGGCCCGACCCTGCTCAGCGTCATGAGGTGAGACGAGCTCGGCAGTGTTCAGGGTGATATGATTGTAAGCGAACAATAAAATGGTGGGTAATGGATTTATTTCTACTTTAGGTACAAAGATATATTCTCAAAAAAATCCTGTTCAAAGTGTAAGTGACTGTTTGGAGACACACTTTGTGGTTTTGCTGTTTTTCAGTTGTAGCTGCAGTTCAGCGTTTCATTCTGCGCTGGACTCTTTCATATGTTACATTTCAAACACTCAAGTGCACTGGTTTTGGTAGAACTACTAACCACAACAGCAAGAACTATTATTTGTATTATAACTCACCCCAGCCAAATTCTCACTGCAACTCACAGTCTGAATCTGCACTTCATGTTTTATTTATTTATTTATTATTTATTTATTTATTTAGGATCCCCATTAGTTATTACCACAACAATAACGATTCTTCCTGGAGTCCATTACAAAAACATGTACTTTTCACATTTCACATACAGACTTTCTGTTAGTAAATATTAGTAGTAGTATAGTATTTATGAAGTTAGTTTTACTGTACATATAAACAATATTACCACATTCAGTTTACACATACAGATAAAAAAAAAAGAAATAGTGCGTCACACCACACTGTAATAAAACTTAAGGCAACAGGTTGCCTTTACTTTTTTTTGTTGAAAAGACTAACTTATTCAAGTTATGGATTTAAGTTGCTCCAACTTAAATTATTTTGTTCACAAAATTAATCTTTCATGTTTTCCTGGACTTACTTTTATTTGTTAGAGAACAAATAATTAATTTTTGTTTGCATAAGTTATAAATCTTTATGAGCACAACACATTTTGTTTTGCTTCTCTGAGTTAGTTTTTATCATTAGCTCAACACATTTACTATCACAGTTACAATGCATTTTTTTTGCTCACCCAATTTATTTTTTAATGTTTGCAGAATGTATTTTCTCTCATTTGCAATTGTTTTTATTAACTGAAGTATAAATAAAGACATAACCAGCTCAAGTAACAGACTTTATTAATAACTGCACAACTGCAATTTTAAGTTTTAACACATTTTGCCCATGTTCGCACCCATCTACCCATCACACATTTAAAAAGGGCCTATTGATGCAAATTAAGATGTAGAGTCCAGAGACAAATTGCATGTGCGGAAAAGATGAACTTATTAGAACATTTCTTCACCATTGTTAACTGTAAATGTAACTGATCACGATGCAATAGGTGTGCACAATTGCTATCATAAATACATCCAACCAGAATCTTAGGAATAGGCTGCTTTCTAGAATCTAATTTCACATTCATAATAACACCTTAACGTTAAATTGTTACTTAACATCTATAAAAATATTGTACATGAAATGCACATCCAACTGTAAATGAACAATATAAGTGTCTAATATTTGTGCATATGCGATGGAAACTTTTACACTGTCCAAGCTACACCCAATATTGGACAGCAATGTATACGTTATTTAAACTACCTACTAACTAACCAACATATTTCACAAAGTCTTTGAACAAAGTAATGCAACTGTATGAATATAAGCAATGAGACGCCATGGACCATAGACTCTAGACCACAGACTGTGGACCATAGACTCTAGACCATAGATCTAGACCATAGACTCTAGACCATAGATCTAGACCATAGATCTAGACCATAGACTCTAGACCATAGACTCTAGACCACAGACTGTGGACCATAGACTCTAGACCATAGATCTAGACCATAGACTCTAGACCATAGATCTAGACCATAGATCTAGACCATAGACTCTAGACCATAGATCTAGACCATAGATCTAGACCATAGACTCTAGACCACAGACTGTGGACCATAGACTCTAGACCAGGCATGTCCAAATTATGGCCCATGGGCCAAATGTGACCCTCAGACAAATTTTTCTTGGCCCACAGGCTTCCAGGTGAACTGGCCCAAATTACCTTACATTAATTAAAAATTAACTTTTTACTGCAAGTTTTTGAAAATCTACCTTGATAAAGCAAATATTTAATACTGAGTGTGTGCTTTTAAGAATCTTAGAATGAGCCCTCAATCTTTATTCATTCTATAGTGTTAAAAATGCACATTTTTCAATTATTCACTGTATTGAACACCAGTCTACGGCCCTTGATCAGTCCTCTGCTTCGTTTGTGTTTAGATATGTGGCCCTTAATGAAAAAAGTTTGGACACCCCTGTTCTAGACCATAGACTCTAGACCATAGACTGTAGCTCCTCCTCCTCCTTTACATGATCTAAATTAAAAATGTGAACATTAAATAACAGACTGATCTGCTTTTCCCTGAGTTCGCTCCCACTGGCGTCAGCGACAGGTTGATTGACAGCCTTGTTGCTAAGTACCCGCCCAATGCCAAACCAGCAGTATGAGCGGGAGGGGCGTTACCTTCAACAGCCTTGCTCCTGATTGGATCTTTGGTTTCATGCTCGGTTTTTTAAATATGGTCCCTGGTTGAAGATTTGTCACTATAACTGCTAGCCTGAATGAGCTTCATTTGGTTGCAACCAAACTCTACTTCTATTATACAGTCTACAGATGTGTATAAAAACATATGATGATCTGTAAGGGGTAGGGTTGGGTCTTCTCTGTTATTTTATGGTTTCCCTGTGTTGTCGCTGTGCTTCAGTTTCCACAGAGAGGGCGGTGACATGTGACGACTCTCAGAACGTCCATCGCCTGAGCTGTGGTAAGGACAAAACAAGAGATTTATCATGTTTCAAATTAAAGACATAAACTCCGCCCACAAGCACATTTTAAATAGAGCTGAAAAACTGGGCGGGGCCATGGGTGGGTGGTCAAAAGTATCAAAAATCAGATACTAATCAATACAAAAAATAGTATTGAAAGTAGATAATCATTTGAGCAGGTATCGATACTAAAAAAGTCCCAGGACAGAAATGAGAACAAGTATAAGAGCACATAGACTAGTATACACCCATGGACCTGGTTTAGACCTGGTTTAGACCTGGTTTAGACCTAATTTAGACCTAATTTAGACCTTGACCACTATGGAACTTACCTGGACCACTGAAGGATTACACAGATATAAGGCCACATGGGAACAGAGAAGAAAGTACTACCAATAATGTTGATAATCACAGTATATTGTCTAAATAAAGAGTGTTTTTATTATCATTGGTATCAGAATCAGTACTGAGTATCGAGTCTGTTCTTTAGTATTGGAATTTAGTGTTTGGCAGTCCTCCTCTGAGCAGTTGTGTGTTGTGGTTTCAGATCTGGGGGTGGTGGTGGTGGTGCAGTCAGCTCTGTACGGTCGAGTTGACAAACTCATCTGCAGTGAAGGGAGACCCGCGGAGCAGCTCACCAACACCCACTGCTCCCTGTCTGGTGTAAAGGAGCGCATCCAGACCAGGTAATAAACCAGGACTAAACCAGGACTAAAGCAAAACTGAACCAGAACTAAACCAAGACTACACCAGAGACTAAACCAAAACTATGCCAAGACTCAACCAGGACTGAACCAGAACTAAACCAAGACTACACCAGAATCAAAATCAGAATCTGAATCAGAATGTATTTGTCATTCCAGTATAAAAAAATACACAGAAACGAAACACAAGTAATAATAGGAATAAATTGTTAAAAATATGTCAAATACATTCTTTAAAAACAGCCCCACTTGCCCTCATTTTCTAGAGTCGTTCCCAGTCAGTACTATTCTGTGAGGTGCATTAATGTCAGGGTTACATGACAGAATGGATCTGCCTGATGGCATCAAGGTAAAAACTGTTCCGTAGTCTGGTGGTCCTGACCTGTAGGTGGTGCAGTCTTCTGCCTGCTGGGAGAGCTGTAAAAGTCCATGTGCTGGATGGGTGGAGTCTTCCATGATGCTGTAGCTTTTGTCCTGCACCTGCTGATGTAAACGTCGTCAGTACAGAGCAGACACAGCTGCAGATGTGCTCAGCAGCTCTTCCTCCTCTGCAGAGTTTTCCTCTCTGCCCTGGTGCTGCTGCTGAACCACACAGTCATGTTGGAGGTGAGGAGATTCTCCATCACACTCCTGTAAAAGGTCTTCAGGACAGAGGAGCCCAGACCTGCTTTTTTGAGGTGCCTAAGAAAGTAGAGGTGTTGATGCATTGATCTTGTATTGATCTTTCTTTACTATGCAACTGGTGTTGTTAGACCAGGTGAGATTGTTCATGATTTGGATTCCCAGGTATTTGAAACAGGAGAAAATCTCCACTGCATCTCCACTGATGTACAGAGGAGAAGATGATGATGTTGTGGATCTTTACAGTTTATGACCTGTTGTTGAGGAAATGCAGTTGTAAATTGTCCTGCTTGAAACAAGGAGAATGAGTTTGTTGGCAAATGTCTGTGGGTTTATGGTAGTAAATGCAGAACTAAAATCCAAAAAAAGGAGCCTAACATAAGAATCCTTTTTTCCCAGATGAGTTAGAGCTATGTGAACCAGTCCAGATATGGCATCTGCGGTGGAGTGATTTTTATGATAAGCATAACTGAAGCATGTCCACAGCGACGTTTATTTCTGCCATAACCAGCCTTTTGAAACATTTCATGGACATTAGAGCCACAGGACGGTCATCATTCGAGGTTGACACTGTGCTACACTTTGGGACAGGTATAATAGGAGTTGTCTTGAAGCACTTTGGCACCACCTGCTGGCTTAAGGAGGTGCTGAAAATGTCAGTAAGTACCTCAGAGAGTTCATGGGCACACATTTTGAGAGCTCACCTGGCACCTTATCTGGACCTGCAGCTTCAACGAGGTTCACCTGCTGCAGGTTTCTCCTCACACCCAATGTTGTTGCAATGAGAGTGGGGTCACTAGATGTTATGGTGAACCTGGAAGGAGAAAATATGTTTAGAGCTTCAAACTGTGCAGTTGTTGAGGGCATCAGGGAGAGGAGGGTCCCGTGGGCACTCTGCCTCCTTCTTTTTATAGTCCGTTATTTCTCTGATGCCTGCCCACATTTGTCGAGGGTCATTGGTGGAGACATGACCCTGAATCTTTAGAGCATGGTTCTTTTTTGCTCTCATTATACCAGCAAATTCTAAATTCCTCCTAGTTGCTGCCTCTCTAAACACCTGCCAATCAGCACTAACCAGGACTAAACCAGGACTAAACCAAGACTAAACCAAGACTACACCAAGGACTAAACCAGGACTGAACTAAGACTAAACTAAGACTGAACCAGGACTAAACCAAGACTACATCAGTAACTAAGCCAGGACTGAACCTGGAGTAGACCAATGTTAAAATCAGGACTTAAAAAGTCTGATTATGATTGTTTTGAACAGGTCAGTTTGAGTTGATGAAAGAATGAATGCAGCCCTGACAATAAGAAGTGTTAGGAGATGTTCTCACACTGGTTCCTCTTCAGGTGTGATGGGAAGAGTCAGTGTGAACTCAACACAGATTTCTTCCGCTCGTCTGACCCGTGTGTGGGGACTTACAAATACCTGGAGACAAACTACACCTGCTTCCCAGCAAGTGAGTTTTACTTCATTTGTATTTATAAACTGAGCTGGGCAGTAGTACACAGTTACATTTATTTGAGTAACTTTTTAAAGAAATTGTGCTTTTCTAGCAGTATACTTTTAGTCCTGCTTATACACTGCTCAAAGAAATTAAAGGAACACTTTGAAAACACATCAGCTCTCAATGTGAAAAAAAAAAAAAAAAAAAAAATGCTGGATATCCATCCAAATATGGACAGGGAAATGTCTCAGGAACAAAAAGATGCTCCTCTTTTAATGAAACCCTGAAAATCAAAGTGAAATAATGAAGTGGCAGGTTAGTCCATTTTGCCAGAATTAAATTTCTAAACTCAAAATGCTTCTCAGTATCTTGTGTGGCCCCCATGTGCTCGCCTGCATGTTTGACAACGTTGTGGCTCCTAAAGAGACAAAAGATGACGTCTTGTGGGACGTCCTCCCAGATCTGTGTGAGCATCACTGAGCTCCTGTAGAGTCTGACGAGAAACCTGGTGACGTCTGGACCCAAACATAATGTCCCAGAGGTGTTCTATCAGGTTTACGTCAGGTGAACGTGAGGGCCATTCAGTTGTGTCAATCCATTCTTCCTCCAGGTTCTGCGTGCAGACTCTTGCCACACGAGGCCAGGAGTTTTGCGTCAGGAGTATAGACTGTATAAAAGAAGTGGACTAAACGAGTGTGACGTCACCCACAGCGTTCAGCGCTGCTTAAATGAGGCTCGTGATGCTCACGGTTACAGGAGCAAATCTGGAGCCAGATTCTGTGTTATGAAGAGGATTTTTTTGACAGACAAAATAGTGAAAAAAAAAATCAGGCTCATGTAGAGTGAGTTAATATGAACATTTTAAGACCAGAATGACGAGGTTCACTGCAGCAGGTACAGAGAGAGGAACCACAAGATCCTAATGTAAGTCAATTAGGAGCCAGAGTCAGAAGGAGCCAGAAGAGCCTCATGTGGACTTCCTATTTAGCATGCGGCGGCTAGCGCGTTAGTAGCCATGTCCACTCATATATACGGTTTATGATCAAGAGGAACCCAGGACCTACTGCACCAGCCTAGAGTCTGACAATGAGTTCAAGGATTTCATCCCGATACCTAATGCCGTTCTGTAGCTGGTAGAGATCTGTGCATCCCTCCATGTATCTGCCTCCACCAACCATCACTCACCCACCACCAAATCATTCACGGGAACCATGGTGCAGGCAGCGGAGCGTTCTCGGTGGATCTCCACGGTGCTGGTGGTGAGCACAGCTCCCACTACAGGTCGTGGACCCCTAAAATCACCCTCATGAAGTGTGTTTGTCAATGTTTGGGCAGAGACATTCACACCAGTGTCCTGCTGGAGGTCAAACACGGGAAGAGCTCAGCCTGTTCCTCCTGCTCAGAGGAGCAGATATGTGTCCTGCTGATGGTTGAGAACCTTCTACAGCCCTGTTCTCCTACAGGAACTGTCTGTCTCCTCCTGAAATCTCCTCCATGTTCTGGAGATTGTGCTGGAGACACATTAAATCTCCTTGTAACAACACGTCCCGATGTGCATCCTGGAGAAGATGGACAGTGTGTGCAGCTTCTGTAGG